ACTGGTAACTACAGGGCGCCTTAATCCGCTTGACCATCACGGCCGTCAAAAGGAAGTGATAGCCGAGGCTATTTGAGCCACTTCCCCGACGGCAACTCGGATGGTAATCTTGGGCATAGCATTTCACCAAATCACCTCATTCTTTGGGGCACACGTGAGGAACACAAATGCGAACAAGCCTGAATGGTCCCCAGGACTATATGCGAATGAAAACTCACACCCCAGAAGTGACTCGAACCCATACTCCCAGAAGCAACGCAACTGGTAACTACAGGGCGCCTTAATCCGCTTGACCATCACGGCCGTTAAAAGGAAGTGATAGCCGAGGCTATTTGAGCCACTTCCCCGACGGCAACTCGGATGGTAATCTTGGGCATAGCATTTCACCAAATCACCTCATTCTTTGGGGCACACGTGAGGAACACAAATGCGAACAAGCCTGAATGGTCCCCAGGACTATATGCGAATGAAAACTCACACCCCAGAAGTGACTCGAACCCATACTCCCAGAAGCAACGCAACTGGTAACTACAGGGCGCCTTAATCCGCTTGACCATCACGGCCGTCAAAAGGAAGTGATAGCCGAGGCTATTTGAGCCACTTCCCCGACGGCAACTCGGATGGTAATCTTGGGCATAGCATTTCACCAAATCACCTCATTCTTTGGGGCACACGTGAGGAACACAAATGCGAACAAGCCTGAATGGTCCCCAGGACTATATGCGAATGTTCCCATGTTTGTTGGAATGTTGGAAACAAACATAGGAATGTGCCTAAATGCCAACAGCGACTGCCCTGACAGGTACAAGAGGAGTGTTGTTAACGCATACGTCGACCGTGCTCTCAGCCACAGCTCAGAATGGAAGCAAGTCGACGAAGAACTCTGTAGGGTAAGGCAGGTTCTAGTCAATAACGGCTTCTCCAATGGTTTCATCGAAGACATCATAAGAAGGAAAGTGAAAAGCCATGCAACCTCCGAAGAGACAACTAACACAACACCTATACCCCCTATTAGACTATTTTACAGGAACTTCTTTTCCACAGCTCATAAAACAGAGGAAAGGGTCCTGAAAGATATTGTTAATAGAAACGTTATCCCTACAGACAAAAATCAGAGGATACAACTGACGATTTACTATAAAACCAGAAAAACGGCCAGCCTACTCATGAGAAACTCTCCAGACACGAAACAGAACGCTTTAAAAGAGACTAACGTCGTCTATGCCTTCAAATGCCCACTTGGGGACTGTAAGCTCCAAAAAACCCAGTATATAGGCAAGACAACAACATCTCTTTCTAGGCGTTTAACGATGCATAAACAACAGGGCTCCATTAAGGAACATATAATCTCTTCCCATAACCAAACCATCGCCAGAGAAATCCTAGTAAACAACACAGAAATCATCGATAGATACAGCGATAGCAGGCGGCTAGACGTTTGCGAGGCACTACACATCAAGAAGTCAACACCAGCAATCAACAGCCAATTATTGCACAACTATATTCTACCCACCTCAAGACTCCGCCCCAATATAGAAGCATCAAGAAATATGGACCAATAGGCTTTCTACAAACACTTCTATTCAATACCCATTGTTTCGTGTTCTGTCTTGTGTTGATACTTTTAATACCCTATTAATATCCTCTAATGCCACATCATCCTTCCCACCTTACTCAAAATGTAATGCCACATCACCCTTCCCACCTCACTCAAATGTAGATATAAAATCAGGGAAACGCAAGTTCTAATCAGTTGTGTATTTGTGAAGTCTTTGAAAATGTAATAAGTTTTACGAAACGCGCCCGTGTCGCGTCAGACTAGAAATAAAAATGAATTTTGGAGAAGTGATTTTTAATTTACCTCCAACAGTGAAGCATAATGTACGAAAGATTGAGAAAATTCGTGTTAGAATTATTAATCTTACTTTTTCGGTCATATTTAATAAAATATATATATATATATATATATATATATATATATATATATATATATATATATATATATATATATATAACTGAAAACTCACCCCAGAAGTGACTCGAACCCATACTGCCAGGAGCAACGCAACTTACCAGTTGCGTTGCTCCTGGCAGTATAGGTTCGAGTCACTTCTGGGGTGTGAGTTTTCAGTTGTATATAGTCCTGGGGACCATTCAGGCTTGTTTGCATATATATATATATATATATATATATATATATATATATATATATATATATATATATATATATATATATATATATATATATATATATATATATATATATATATATATATATATATATATATATATATATATATATATATATATATATATATATATATATATATATATATATATATATATATATATATATATATATATATATATATATATATATATATATATATATATATATATATATATATATATATATAATATGACCGAAAAAGTAAGATTAATAATTCTAACACGAATTTTCTCTATCTTTCTTACGTTTCTTTTCACTGTTGATGGTAATTAAAAAATCAATTCTCCAAAATTCATTTTTATTTCTAGTCTGACGCGACACTTGAGCGCGTTTCGTAAAACATATTACATTTTCAAAGACTTTAGTTTACACACATACACACAACTTTAACTGAATAGAGCTTAATGTTGTTGTTGTTTAAGATTCGCTACTCAGAACAATAAGTTCCAGTAGCACGGGCTATGGTGAGCCCGTAAGTGGAGGCTCTTTGGAGCCATTATCTGTATCAGTGGCTGATACTAGAGATGTGGCGATGGATGGGGGGTCTTCATGATGGTTTTCAGCCAGGAGGGCTGGCTATACCAGTTATGGAGCTGGTGGGGTTAGTGTAGACCTCTAGGTTTTCCGTTTTTTCTTTGCTTGCGACTTTGGCTGAGCAGTGCTGTCGTTAGAGTTTGGTGACGTGGCCTCCATGAGGAAGTCATGAACCGTGTCGTATTTGTGATTCGGCTGTGGAGCTCCTACTATGATTTCCTCGTCTGAGGAGTCTGTAACCTCCGTAGTGGGCGTTTTTGTCTTTCGCCTCGCAGCCTTAGGTAGGCTTAGGTGTCGTTGATTGGTGGTTGTAGCTATTTCAGGAGCGCTGGTGGTGCTGTTATCGTTTGTAGACAGCACGTCTGCTAGCGCGGCTGCTGAGATAGTGATGGTAGGAGTGTTGGGAGCTGGAGAAGGAATTACCTCCTTCGCCCGGGTCATGGGCGGTTCTGGAATCGGTGTTGAAGTTGACGACTTGGTCGTCCTGGTGGTAGTCTCCGGAGTGGTAGACGAGGCAGTGAGATTTACGCTAGTGGCTATGATGGGGGCCAGGCCATTGTCTATGTGTAATGCGTTTAGTTCACTGACAAAGCGCTGGTTGTCTGGTCCTGCAAGCCTTTCCGCTAGTTTAAGAAGACCAGGGATAATGCCTGCACGTGATGCAGGTGGCTGTGAAGGAGACTGTGGGACCTTGGGGACCTTGGGTTCCCAATGAGAAGGCTGTGTCGCCTGCTGGGAGGAGCTACATGTTGGTAGGACCGGAAAGTCTTCTGGTCGACTAGTGAGAGCTAAGGTGGTGAGTTGAACGCTTGGGGTCGAGGAGGTAGACGAGTTGTTTCTTTTCGCTTCAACCTGGGCCTTGATGATTTCCTGTCTGCGGGGGCAGAGGTAGGAAATTGCGGGGTGATTGCCATCTCGTGTGTGGGGCTGGAGACTCTTTTTTTTCAGCAAGATAATTACACACAAACCTATCATAATCTTCAGTGATAGCCTTCAGTGATAGCCTAGACACTCTCCCTAAATACTGGGAGAGTGTCTGAACTGTAAAAAGGAAGGAATTCCTGGTACATGTATCCAAAAACAAGAGTGTGGAGGTCCACCGGCTAGTGATCTAGAGAGCCCACCACTGCCTCATCTACCAAGTGAGACGCATCAACGTGCACTTCATATCTGAGCATGCAACTAGAATCATTTACACCCAAACTGTGACATCAAATCAACATCATCAACCTGTCATTTCATCATTAAAATACCTGGTCTCTGGTTTCAGCAAGAGGGACATCATCTGGCTACTGTCAGATAGGCTCTGGCTTTCAATTCAGGATAAGTTATTAATTGTTTTAGAGTGTAGATTGGCCAATTAGCATGCTTTATAACACTAATACATCCATATAAATTGCGAGTCGTTAGGCAGCGAGGCAACGCCTCATTATGAGTAAGTTCTGACCTACTCATGCAGTAACTGAGCTTATATAGCTGAATATTTACATAATGTGTATATAATTCTTTACTATAATATATCATACATTTAACTGCCATTATCTTAATTTATCAAGTTTGTTTATTTTATTGCATATAATAATTTTTGTATGCAAATTTACATATACCTTGTATAATTATTCCATGTATGCAACAGCTCAGATGTTTCTAGGACTAGGCTAGAGAATGAATAGTTCATATCCCAGACATGAACCTTACCAGTGCTTGCAGTCCTAGAGCTGTTTTATCATATCCTTGTTTACATTTACGAGTCAAATGTGTGGGTGTACCCGAAGGTAAATTGTGTTCTGCAATTTATGAGTCAGATAAGCCTTAAGGACTCTACCTGCTGCAGCTCATTTCCACTATCAAGGTCACCGAGAAGTGGACTTACAATCCAGCATAGGAACCTTGCATACAGCTAAGAGCTTTTGTGTTGTACTTCATTATAAATTTCAATATAATTTAATTTTAAACTCATGGTTCTAGTAACCACATTTTCGTTCCTGTGAAATTCTCCTCTTCATCAATAATCCTGGTATATTCCCCCACATCTGTCACCCAAGTTCTGTTCTCGCTATTCCTATATTTTATTAGCAAACAATATTAAGGTATTCCTTGTTATACACTGGTAAACCATTATTGTATTATTTGAATATTTTATTATCTGTCATATATACTTTTTAGCTTGCTTAACATACTTTGAGATTGTCTTTAATTTATATGGAGTCGGATGAAGCCTACCATTGTTTTTATCTCATAGTAAGACTGTCCAGGCGTACGGAACACCATCCAGGTGTCTGGAACACCGTCCAGGTGACTGGAACACCGTCCAGGTGACTGGAACACCGTCCGGGTGTCTGGAACACCGCCCAGGTGTCTGGAACACCGCCCGGGTGTCTGGAACACCGCCCGGGTGTCTGGAACACCGCCCGGGTGTCTGGAACACCGCCCGGGTGTCTGGAACACCGCCCAGGTGTCTGGAACACCGCCCAGGTGTCTGGAACACCGCCCAGGTGTCTGGAACACCGCCCAGGTGTCTGGAACAACGTCCAGGTGTCTGGAACACCGTTAAGATGTCTGGAACACCGTCCAGGTGTCTGGAACACCGTTAAAATGTCTGGAGCATCGTCCAGGTATCTGAAACACCGTCCACTTATCTGGAACTCCGTCCAGGTGTCTGGAACTCCGTCCAGGGGTCTGGAATTCCGTCCGGGTGTCTGAAACACCGTCCGGGAGATTGGAACACCGTCCGGGTGTCTGGAACACCGTCCAGGTGTCTGGAACACCGCCCGGGTGACTGGAACACTGTCCGGGTTTCTAGAACACCGTCCGGGTGTCTAGAACACCGTCCGGGTGTCTGGAACACCGTCCGGGTGTCTGGAACACCGCCCAGGTGTCTGGAACACCGCCCGGGTGTTTGGAACACCGCCCAGGTGTCTGGAACACCGCCCAGGTGTCTGGAACACCGCCCAGGTGTCTGGAACACCGCCCAGGGGTCTGGAACACCGCCCAGGTGTCTGGAACACCGCCCAGGTGTCTGGAACACCGCCCAGGTGTCTGGAACACCGCCCAGGTGTCTGGAACACCGTCCAGGTGTCTGGAACACCGTTAAGATGTCTGGAGCACCGTCCAGGTATCTGAAACACCGTCCACTTATCTGGAACTCCGTCCAGGTGTCTGGAACTCCGTCCAGGGGTCTGGAATTCCGTCCGGGTGTCTGGAACACCGTCCGGGAGATTGGAACACCGTCCGGGTGTCTGGAACACCGTCCAGGTGTCTGGAACACCGCCCGGGTGACTGGAACACTGTCCGGGTGTCTAGAACACCGTCCGGGTGTCTGGAACACCGTCCGGGTGTCTGGAACACCGTCCGGGTGTCTGGAACACCGCCCGGGTGACTGGAACACCGTCCGGGTGTCTGGAACGCCGTCCGGGTGTCTGGAACGCCGTCCGGGTGTCTGGAACGGCGTCCGGGTGTCTGGAACGCCGTCCGGGTGTCTGGAACGCCGTCCGGCTGTCTGGAACGCCGTCCGGCTGTCTGGAACGCCGTCCGGGTGTCTGGAACACCGCCCAGGTGTCTGGAACACCGCCCGGGTGTCTGGAACACCGCCCGGGTGTCTGGAACACCGCCCGGGTGTCTGGAACACCGCCCAGGTGTCTGGAACACCGCCCAGGTGTCTGGAACACCGCCCAGGTGTCTGGAACACCGCCCAGGTGTCTGGAACACCGTCCAGGTGTCTGGAACAACGTCCAGGTGTCTGGAACACCGTTAAGATGTCTGGAACACCGTCCAGGTGTCTGGAACACCGTTAAAATGTCTGGAGCATCGTCCAGGTATCTGAAACACCGTCCACTTATCTGGAACTCCGTCCAGGTGTCTGGAACTCCATCCAGGGGTCTGGAATTCCGTCCGGGTGTCTGAAACACCGTCCGGGAGATTGGAACACCGTCCGGGTGTCTGGAACACCGTCCAGGTGTCTGGAACACCGCCCGGGTGACTGGAACACTGTCCGGGTTTCTAGAACACCGTCCGGGTGTCTAGAACACCGTCCGGGTGTCTGGAACACCGTCCGGGTGTCTGGAACACCGCCCAGGTGTCTGGAACACCGCCCGGGTGTTTGGAACACCGCCCAGGTGTCTGGAACACCGCCCAGGTGTCTGGAACACCGCCCAGTGTCTGGAACACCGCCCTGGAACACCGCCCAGGTGTCTGGAACACCGCCCAGGTGTCTGGAACACCGCCCAGGTGTCTGGAACACCGCCCAGGTGTCTGGAACACCGTCCAGGTGTCTGGAACACCGTTAAGATGTCTGGAGCACCGTCCAGGTATCTGAAACACCGTCCACTTATCTGGAACTCCGTCCAGGTGTCTGGAACTCCGTCCAGGGGTCTGGAATTCCGTCCGGGTGTCTGGAACACCGTCCGGGAGATTGGAACACCGTCCGGGTGTCTGGAACACCGTCCAGGTGTCTGGAACACCGCCCGGGTGACTGGAACACTGTCCGGGTGTCTAGAACACCGTCCGGGTGTCTGGAACACCGTCCGGGTGTCTGGAACACCGTCCGGGTGTCTGGAACACCGCCCGGGTGACTGGAACACCGTCCGGGTGTCTGGAACGCCGTCCGGGTGTCTGGAACGCCGTCCGGGTGTCTGGAACGGCGTCCGGGTGTCTGGAACGCCGTCCGGGTGTCTGGAACGCCGTCCGGCTGTCTGGAACGCCGTCCGGCTGTCTGGAACGCCGTCCGGCTGTCTGGAACGCCGTCCGGCTGTCTGGAACGCCGTCCGGGTGTCTGGAACGCCTTCCGGGTGTCTGGAACGCCGTCCGGGTGTCTGGAACGCCGTCCGGGTGTCTGGAACGCCGTCCGGGTGTCTGGAACGCCGTCCGGGTGTCTGGAACGCCGTCCGGGTGTCTGGAACGCCGTCCGGGTGTCTGGAACGCCGTCCGGGTGTCTGGAACGCCGTCCGGGTGTCTGGAACGCCGTCCGGGTGTCTGGAACGCCGTCCGGGTGTCTGGAACGCCGTCCGGGTGTCTGGAACGCCGTCCGGGTGTCTGGAACGCCGTCCGGGTGTCTGGAACGCCGTCCGGGTGTCTGGAACGCCGTCCGGGTGTCTGGAACGCCGTCCGGGTGTCTGGAACGCCGTCCGGGTGTCTGGAACGCCGTCCGGGTGTCTGGAACGCCGTCCGGGTGTCTGGAACGCCGTCCGGGTGTCTGGAACGCCGTCCGGGTGTCTGGAACGCCGTCCGGGTGTCTGGAACGCCGTCCGGGTGTCTGGAACGCCGTCCGGGTGTCTGGAACGCCGTTCGGGTGTCTGGAACGCCGTCCGGGTGTCTGGAACGCCGTCCGGGTGTCTGGAACGCCGTCCGGGTGTCTGGAACGCCGTCCGGGTGTCTGGAACGCCGTCCGGGTGTCTGGAACGCCATCCGGGTGTCTGGAACACCGTCCGGGTGTCTGGAACACCGTCCGGGTGTCTGGAACACCGTCCGGGTGTCTAGAACACCGTCCGGGTGTCTGGAACACCGTCCGGGTGTCTAGAACACCGTCCGGGTGTCTAGAACACCGTCCGGGTGTCTAGAACACCGTCCAGGTGTCTGGAACACCGTCCGGGTGTCTAGAACACCGTCCAGGTGTCAGGAACGCCGTCCAGTTGTCTGGAACGCCGTCCAAGCGTCTGGAACGCTACTACAATTCCCAACGTTACACCAATTTACTTACAAATTTACTGTTCCGTTCTCATGCCAAGTGAAAATATGTTTATAATTGTGCTGTCTACTATTTAATATATCTAATACCACTCACCGGCCTCCACCTGCGTCAAGAGGTTGGTGACCAGCAGAACTGGCACGAACATGGTGACCTCAGCTGGTGGTGACCTCGGATGGTGGTGACCTCGGGTAGTGGTGACCTCAGGTGGTGGTGACCTCAGCTGGTGGTGACCTCGGATGGTGGTGACCTCGGGTAGTGGTGACCTCAGCTGGTGGTGACCTCGGTAGTGGTGACCTCAGGTGGTTGTAACCTTAGCTGGTGGTGATCTCCGGCGATAGTAACCTCGGGTGGTGCAGGTCTCAGGTGGTGGTGACAGTGGTGTGGTAGTGGTGTAACGAGTCTCTTAACCAGGTCTGCTGGTGAAGTCTGATGTCGTCTCACCGTCATCACCAAATACCTGGTCGCCTTATAACGGAACGAGGAAGCGTCCGCCTTTTCTACTGGCGTGACCTTACGTCATCCACATGGGAAGGCGGCAGCTGAAGATTTCTATTCATGAAGATTACAATTACTGGTGGTGATACACCTTCTGGCAGAGTTTGAGCATGCGGCGCAGTATGTTGAGATTTTCCTGGTAGATAAAGTTATCTGTTGATGAGAGGGAACAGATGACAACAAGAATGTACTAACCGGTGCCTGCAAGGGTCGCTAAGGTCTTCCAGCCCAACGTGGGAGCAAGCAGGCGGCCGGAGAATATTTACGTTTATTACCAAAGGGAATAGGTACGGAGAGGGAGGTGTAGGGGGTGATGTGAGCCGGATGTGGGAGGAGTTCAAGTTTAGCGTCTAGTACATTCTGGTTTTGGTGGTGTTACCGGGGCGTTTGGTGTTGGGTTAGTTGTTTAGTAGGCCGTTCCAGCGGTGCGGGAGGCTGCTGGTGTTATGACAATGGAGGTGACAATATGTGGAATGGCAGTGTTGAAGACCAGCAGGACCTCGTGAACCTGCTGGACATAACCAGCCTCCAGCATTGCTTACTCTTGTGATTAAGTGCAGAAGAAGACCTATTCCTCAGGACCGTCCAGGGAGTCGCTCGACAAGATTTATTATCTTGGAACGTCAGAATTATTGGATGTGCTTCCTCACTCTTTGTTGCAGTTCTTCCTCACTCTTTGTTTGGTCCGGTTACTGTGTGATGACCTTACAAATACCTATTATTACAAAACTTGTCATAGCTTTTAATACTGCAGCTTTCAGGTGTCTGGGCATTTCTTAGTTCTTCTAAATTTGAATTAATTTCTTTAATTTGTACGTTTCTAATAATTGCATTAGATAGTCTAGTCATAATCAGTGTTTTCTTTCCTGCAAGCCTCATAGGCCAATCGATCTACAAAGTCATGTTTTTCAACTCCAACATAGGATGGGATCCACACAAATTTTATACAATAGTTATTATCATTGGCAAAAATTACATTCCATTTAATATTACAAGCTATTTCAGACATATATTGTGATGGGTTATTTAAGGACTGCAGAGCACTTTTAGAGTCACAGAATATCACTCCACCACCATTGAGCTTAAGGTACTCAGTGGCTAGATAAATACCCAATAGCTCAGTCTGTGTCGTGCTTGCCCAGTTGTTCAATCTCTGTGTACTAGACATGATCATTTCATTCCCTTTACATGCTGCATATGCACAACCTGTTCTACCAGTGCCTAACTGCACAGAACCATCAGTAAAAGCGTAGGATTCAGTCGGTTTGAGATTTTGAAGATGACTGCTAATAGCTTCTAATGTTATACATCTCATAGTTTCAGTGTTATACATTTGTTTTACACTGATGGGGGTATAATGCAAAGTGACCTGCACATCTTTCCAAGGGGGAATATAGTGAACAACAAAGATGTTGATCAGCACTGGGAATAAGCAGGAGCCTTGTGAAATGCTTGTGTTGGTGTATTTTCCTTTGAAGAATGGCGTAAACCTTCTATTAAACTGGAAGTTTTATGATCAGCCTCATGCAGTAGATAAGTCCATCGTACAAGGAGGTGGTGACCTCCTGTCAGCGACTGTCAGCGACTTTGTTTACGTCTCATGTGCCAAAAGTGTTGGTTATATAAACGTGGATGCTGTCAACTGAGTCGTAGACGTTGACAGCATGTTGGCTGGACCAGTGGCTTCCCAGACCAAACTGTGTCTCAGTTAAGAAACTGTTCTCTGTGTAGTAGCTGAACCAATTAGATTAGGCGAAACAAAGTTGTATCAGCCTGTTCCTCCATGGGGAGTCAGGATGGTCCGCCAAATGGCCATCACGCACTTCGGGGTGCCTCAATTACCCACATCTGGGCAACACCCTCCAACATACAATAAACACTGGTTGTTGTGTTCAATGGACGAATGATAAAAAACCAAGAAGAAAATCTGAACCTATTAAAGCTCGTAACTGTTGTGAAGGGCTTGTGAGAAACTATAGGTTGGTCTCACAGGGATCTGAAGATGTGTCCTGAATATGTGAAACGTCTGGTGATACTTCGTAACGTCTGGTGATGCTTGGTGACGTCTGGTGATACTTGGGGACGTCTAGTGATGGTTCGTGATGTCTGGTAACGTCTGGTGATGCTTGGTAAAGTTTGGTGATTCTTGATAACGTCTGGTGATGTTTGGTGACGTCTGGGGATGCTTGGCTACGGCTGGTGATTATTGATGACGTCTGGCAATGCTTGTTGGGGTCTAGTGATGTTTGGTGAAGTCTGGTGATGCTTGGCTACGTCTGGTGATTATTGATGACGTCTGGTGATGTTTGGTAACGTCTGGCGATGCTTGGCGACGTCTGGTGATGTTTGGTGACGTCTGGTAATGCTTGATGACGTTTGATGATTCTTCTTGACGTCTGGAGATATTTGGTGGCGTCTGGTGATGTTTGGTGACGTCTGGTGATGCTTGGTGACGTCTGGTGATTATTGATGACGTCTGGTGATGCTTGATGACATTTGGTGATGCTTGGTGACGTCTGGTGAGGTTTGGTGACGTCTGGTGATGCTTGGTGACGTCTAGTTATATTTGGTGACGTCTAGTTATATTTGGTGACGTCTGGTGATGTTTGGTGACGTCTGGTAATGCCTGATGACGTTTGGTGACGCCTGGTGATGTTTGGTGACGTCTGGTGATGTTTGGTGACGTCTGGTGATGTTTGGTGACGTCTGGTGATGCTTGGCTACGTCTGTTGATTATTTATGACGTCTGTTGATGCTTGATGACGTTTGGTGACGTCTGGTGATGTTTGGATAGGTCTGGTGATTATTGATGACGTTTGGTGAAGGTTCGTGACGTATGATGATGCTCGTTGACGTCTGGTGATGCTTGGTGACGTCTGGTGATGCTTGGCGACGTCTGGTAATGCTTGGTGACGTCTGGTGATATCTGGTGATGTCTGTTGATGCTTGGTGACTTCTGGTGATGCTTGGTAATGTCTGGTGATGTTTGGTTACGTCTTGTGATGTTTGGTGACGTCTGGTGATATCTGGTGACGTCTGTTGATGCTTGGTGACGTTTAGTGATTCTTGGTGACGTCTGGTGATGCTTGTTGGCGTCTAGTGATGTTTGGTTACGTCTAGTGATGTTTGGTTACGTCTGGTGGTGCTTGTTGATGACGTCTGGTGATGTTTGGTGACGTCTGGTGATGCTTGGCTACGTCTTGTGATTATTGATGACGTCTGGTGATGTTTGGTGACGTCTGGTGATATTTGGCGACGTCTTATAATGCTTGGTGACGTCTGGCGATGCTTATTGGCGTCTGGTGATGTTTGGTGACGTTCGGTGACGTCTGGTGATGTTTGGTGACGTCTGGTGATTATTGATGACGTCTGGTGATGCTTCCTGATGTATGATGATGCTCGCTGACGTCTGGTGATGCTTGGTGACAGCTGGTGATGTTTGGTGACGTCTTTTGATTCTTAGTGACGTCTGGTGATGTTCAAGAGGTAAGAAGTACCGCTGACATTCAATGTGTTGAAAAGGAGGCGTTCTTACTGAATAACACTGTATGAATTATTTGTAATAGGAATAAGTGCTTTCTATATTTGTGGGAAAACAGAACATTGAAGAAAACTCATTGTAAAATATTTATATAATAAACCATATATAATAGACTTGTACTTATTATTATTTATTATTATTATAATAATTATTAGTATTTATGTCTATTGTTGTTGTTAAAGATTCGCTACCTGGAACAAAGTTCCAAGTAGCACGGGCTATGGTGAGCCCGTGATATTTATGTCGTTTATGTAAACACTTGAATACACAATATAATAGTAGTGAAGTTGAGGACTAGAACCGCGCACGCCATCTGCCCAGGTGGCTCTCTTGAGAGCCAGCTGAGCAGGTGGCACGCAGGTGTCTAGTCACAAAGGGTTTGGGGGGATTTTCCCGGAAGTTTGGCGTGTGTCGGACGCGTGTGAGCGTCCGGTGTTTGGGTATGCGGTCAGAAAAGATGGGAGGTCATGTTGTTGGGGGTGTAGGAGAGTATGTTGGCTATGTGGTAGAGTAAGAAATACAAGGATATGAGTGGAATATATGGAAAGAGTAGTTAAATATGTATGTGTGTTTGCCGTAGACTTAATCCTGTGTGTAGATAATAGTTTTTGATGATAGTAAGTAAGCTATGTAGAGGCTAAGTGTAGGTGTGAGGGGTCCCAACATAGGCGGATATGTTGTTTGGGGTGAGTGGAGCTTCCCCTCGGCGTGAGAGTGCTTAGGGCCATTTGTGGTTTGTGGTTTTTGACGGGCATTATTCTTTTCTTCGAGAGAGCAGAGTCCAGGAGATGAGAGCTACAGCAGGAGGGATGTGGTCTATTTACCCTTAATCGTTTTTTCATGTCTATTTTCTTCGAGTTATGCAGCTGTGTTTGGTGATGATCCATGAGGGTAATAGTTCGGCCATACATGGTAGGAATTGTGGAGGAGGAGGAGGATGAGAAAGAGAGAGCAGTCACTCTTAAGTTGTGAATGAGATAAGGCAACAGTTGGTGGAGAAGGTCTGTTTTATGTAACATTGCATGGGAGTGTATAGGTGACAGACCTGGATGGATGTGAACCATTATCCACTTACCCTTAAGCGTTTTTCAAAGTCCGCAGAGGTGTGT